TTTTTTTTTTTTTTGTCTTTTTCGTGACCGGTAAGGGGATCACAACCCTTGGTGTGATGTCACCCGCATGGCGCTCAGCCAGTGAGCGCACCGGCCATTCCTATATGGGATCCGAACCCGCGGCGGGAGCGTCGCTGCGCTCCCAGCGCCACACTCTCCCAAGTGCGCCACGGCGCCGGACCTCTATTAGTCTGTTTCTGATGCTTATAACAGAATACCCGAAACTGAGAAAATATGAAGAAATAACATTTATTTCTTAAAGTTCGGAAACTGGGATGTCCACAGTCCATGGAACACATCTGGTGAGGGCCTTCTGGGTGGTGGTGACTCTGCAGCGATGCAGGATATCACATGGCGAATCGGCTGAGCAAGAGAGCCAACCTTCTCACTTGCTCTCATTTTAAAGCCATCAGAACCATGCCCATGATCAGTGAATTAATCCATTGACCTGGGCACAGTCATTTGGATCCAGTCACCCCTCAAAGGCCCTACCTTTCAATGACCGTAATAAGATTTCCCACCTTTTTAACTCTATTACCATGGAGGTGGAGTTTCCAATAGGTGAACCTTTGGGGGACACGTTTAACCCATAGCATTAGGTGTGCAAGTATCTGTCAAGTCCCTGCTTTCCCTTGTTTTGGTTGTGTATGTAGGAGTGGAGCTGCAGGCTGACTTTCATCCTGAGAGAATGGGATTCCAACCTTGGCTCTGCGACTCTCCCTGGTGATGACTGGTGGGGATCCCTTGACCGTCTGGGCCTGCCCCACGCCCTGTCACAGGAGCCTCCCTGGCTGGCTCATGTTTATCAAGGCTGGGCTGTTTTGCTCAGGAAGCTCGTTACATATCTGCACCCCATTCTCCTGCCCTTGCCATAGGGTCACAGATAGTTCATCCCTCCCACCGTCAGGGACAAAGGCAGAGAGACCCTGGATCCAGGGACACCACTGTCTCACCTTGTTGTCAGCTTCCTGCACAGCCCAGCAGTGCTGGCTCTGACCTCTCGATCCCCTCCCTAGTCTGTCATCCCTCAAGAGCTGGACTATGCCTCAACCTCACTTCTTACTGTTTCCACAGAGCAAGGTGGCACTTTTCTCTAATGGGCTCCTGACATCCACAGCTGAGGGTCCCCTTTTAAGCAGAGTATCTGCTCTGCGTAGGCTGTAGTGTTTTCTTGTTCACACAGACCCCGCAGTGGACGGAGCAGGGGTGGGTGCAGCCGAGGAGGAGAGGTCTGGGAGCTGCTCTCACCCCGTGTAGTCCATTTTTTGCTTCTTTGAACAGAATACCTGAAACCGAGTAATGTATAAAAGACAATATCTATTTTTTATATTTTTGGGGGCTGGGAAATCAATGGTCTGGGGGGCACACCCGGTAAGGTCTTCTTGGTGGTGACTCTCTACAGCAAGGCAGGGTATCATGTGGCAGGGATGGTGAAAGATCTCTCATGTGCATTCCTTATAAAGCCACCAGTCCACACCCGTGATAACTCATTACCTCGTAAATGGATTAATCCTCATGATCCAATCACCTCTTAGAGGCCCCACCTTTCAAATACCATAATTGGATTTCCCACACTCTTCACACCATTACAATGGGGATCAAGTTTCCAACACATGAACTTTTGGGGGACATGTTTGACCCATAGCACAGCCCAAGCCCTGGCAGTTGGTTGCTGCCGCTGAAGGGCTTCTCCACCTTCTGGAAAATAGAACTGGTAAATCCGACAGACTCAGGAGAGAAACCACCGTGGTGTTGTCAGTATTAGGACTCACACGCGGCCCGCAGCCAACAGGGAAAGTGGAAATGAATGAATGGAGTTATCTGGGGTCGAATCACTCATGGCACTTGAATCCTGGTCTTTCCCCTTGTTCTGACATTTTCCATTTGGGTATTTTGTGAAATGACTGTCTTCTGCCCCTCAGTTTTATATAATTCGATATAGACCTTGATGGTGGACGAAGGAGAGTTCATGTTCCGGTAGAAACACTGTCCCAAAGACTCACAGTTAATGGCCCTATCTGGAAGTGAATTCCTCTCACTGGAAAGGATTTTTAAAATATCTGTTTGTCCTCCTTTGGCCTGTGACAGAGTGCACATCCCTGTCCAATGGGTAAGGAGAGGGAAAGGAAGGCCCCCTCTCCTAGCTTAGGCATCTCTCCAATAGCGACTGAAGAATGTAGTCCCTGAGGCCCTGGTATTGGATGACGTTGGTGCTTCCAGTGGTTTCTTTTGAGACAGGAGAGTTTGTCTCTAATTATAATTGTGTAGAAGCCATCTTTAGAGTCTCTCCGAGGAAGTAAGTGTTGCTCCTGAAAGTCTAGGGACAGAGAATGACTCAGTGGGTTTTGTATTTCCTTGGTCTGTGTGCAAGCAGCCTGCGTCACTGAGGTCTGGAGACAGTGGAGGAGGCTGTTTCTGTGTCAGAGTCATTAGGAGAGTTCTGTCCCCAGCCCAGTGTGGCACCCAGGCCACGCCTGCTGGCACATACAGGAGGTGGCTCTCAGGCACTGCCTGCAGGGCTCGCTGACCACAGTGGGTGACCTCCAGTAAAACAGGTTCTCTGTCCCCACATGTCCTGGTTTCAGCTGACTTTTCTGCTGTTGCAGAATTAAATGTGTGTTTTCAGGCAGGAAAGTCTTCCCTACTGTGTGGTTCTTGTTTGTTGGTTTGGTTTACAGAGGAAATAAGCTGCTTATTGAAAACTTACATCCCCCTACCACTTAATTAACCCTGTGTCAATACCACATGTCCCACAACTCCCACTGTAATTACATCCTTACCTATCTGTGAGAGTGAATCCGATGTTTGTGACGTGCTCTGATATGGTCTGTGGGTGAAATGGCCTGTGGGAAACTGGGAATTTTAGTGGGACTTTCTAGTCTGGGTGGAGGCGTGAGGGCAGTCTTCCTCTGCAGGAGGAACTTCTCTGGGAGCTTTCCTGTTGGCTCCACAGTGATGCCACCATGGTGTGCAGCTGGTAGCAGGTGGCACTGGAAGGTGGCCAAACCCATGTCAACATCCACATGTCCTTTTGCATGAAGGCATGCTCGTCTGTGTGTATTTCTTTGCATAAAGGTGTTTGGTAAGGAGCTGTGCTGGACAGAAAATAACAATACTGCCTGCAGTCATGCCCGTCACGCCCATGTTGTTGTTACTTAAACAGTGGTGGTGGCATTAGAGGTGCCACCGTGAAACCCAAACTGAACCCGATCTTCTTTCTCTCCCTCTTTGTTCACAGCGGGGCCTTTTCAGAAGTGGTTTTAGCGGAAGAGAAGGCAACTGGAAAACTCTTCGCGGTGAAGTGTATCCCTAAGAAGGCGCTGAAGGGCAAGGAGAGCAGCATAGAGAACGAGATCGCCGTCCTGAGGAAGTAAGTGCTGGCTGCCCTCCCCTTGCACACTGCATCCGCTCCCCATCCCCGGAGCGCCCTGGCTTCCTGGGCCACGGAGAGGGGTGGGCTCTGCAAATGACCGACATTTATGCAGCGCTTTCAAAGCATGTGAAATAAGGATCCGTTATCTTTTATAACATTCACACCAGTCGTTGAAAGTAATTATTATCCAAAGAGCACATTTGTCAGGCAGACTTGGTTTTGAACTGAGACCCTGCCACTCACTGTTCCCAAGTGACCTCAGGCCAGAGCCCTGAGTCTCTCTGTAAAGTGGAGTTAATAATATCTCCCTTGCAGGGGCTTCTGAGGGTTAAGTGAGATGTTAGCATGTGTTTGTGGCATGCTTACCACAGGACCCACTGCATGGTACATGCTCAGTGAAGGGGGGCTGCTGCCACCACTGGTTTGAGTGCTGTGATTGTTGTCACAGGGCTCTATTTTGTAATAAGGAGATGAAGCTCACAACATAAAGTCACATGTCCAAAGTCTTGCAGCTCCATGTGGCAGAGCCTGGAATAACAAGCCCTCTACGTCAATTTCCACACTTTTTGATGGTTTCTGCCACTCTTTGCCATAGATGTGGCACCTGGCACCTAGCAGGTTCTGTAGAGTTCGCTGTTTAAGTGCTTCACCTCTTTATTGAGTTTTAGTTTTGCTCCCCATGTGTGATAGAACCAAATCAAAATCTCATCCCACCATTGGAATGATACATGCAGAATAATTCTGACATGACTGGATGCACCCCAGAGATGATCTCTCATTAGTGTGGTGTCCAGCCCTGTTCCCCAAACTGTCAAGTTTAAGCTGTTCCATTATATGTCACGAGGTTTGGGGGAACAAACCCTTATATGGCACCTGCTTTTGCATGTTTGGAGTTCATCCGAGCAGCATGCTGTGGAAATTTTTCAGAGTTGCTATTAATAAAAGATGTTCAAAATATCCTTGAAATTTTTGGGGTTTGGAATCAGCACATAGCAAGAGTCCCTGTACAGATAAACAAAGCAGATTGAGAACATGCCTTCTAGGGCCTCAAAACAAAATCTTACACTCCCCACATTCTTCTTGAGTAATCCATCTCCCCCAATTCTCTCTGTCTGGGACCACAGTGCCCCATTGAACAGTGCTTCACCACCACCCGTACAACCCTGAACAAACCCTGAGGTGGTCAGGACAGTCTATCCTGTCCTGACCCGTGTGTGACGCAGAGAGGAACCCACAGCATATGTGCTGTGCGTTCCAGGACAAATGGGTCTAGATAGCTTTTTAGGGTAGGGGTTTTTGCTTATTTGTTTGGTTGGTTACTAGGTTCTCTGGATTGTCTGTTAGGGACCCAGTGAGTTTCAGATTGTCCTAAGGAGGATTGCAGGAAATGATTCCATGGAAGAGAATCTGTAATAACAAATTAAGTACATTAGCATCAAGCAGGAAAACACTATGTTAATGAAACATTTAGTTAAATTGCCCATTTCCCAATATGAAATCAGGACTTGGAGAAGAAATTATTCACTGGTGACATTGTCACCAGACACATTACAGATATTTGACATTTTAGATGGAATTCTGGGTGGGCTGAGAGCTTTCCAAAGGTTCTATGTTGGACACAGGGCTGTCCACTGCCAAATTGAGGGAGGTGCCCTTATTTTTATGTGATTCCCTTATGGGCTTAGAAGTAAAATAGCTGAGGAAGTCAGTTTTTATTCTTAGTGTTGTTTTGCACCCACCTGGGCAGGGGCATGGATGTAGGCTTTATACGCCAGCCCTCGGTGCCATGGACGTTCTGCTGTAATTAGGGGCACTACCCTGTGCCTCGTTCAAATAATTATTTCCAAGGAGAAGGCATTTGAAACCAGGGATGGCCAGGGATTTGGGATAACTTGTTTTGATAGTTTCTATCAGCTGTTGGGTTGCCTTGAAGTACAACCCTTGTTTCAGGAGTAAAGAACAAATAAATGATTTCTCAAGTGATAAGAAAGGTGATCTGTCTCCTGTTCTGATTTATTTTTTAGTGCTCAGCAAATGATTTACCTGTGGAATAGAGGCAATTCCACATCCTAAGCAGCTGAAAGCAAAGTCTATGAGCTGGAAAGACAATAGTTTGGAATCACTCTTAGAATGTTGTCATGGAGACATTCATTCATCTAATGAATATTGTTAAATCCCCACTGTGCATCAGGTGGCACTGCTAGGCACTGAGCTTAAGAGGTAAGATGCAATTCTTGCCCTCTGGGAGCGCACAGTTTTGTTACTGAGTGCAGTGAAATTGTAGATGCCGTGGTAGGAGCAACACCAGGGCTCAAGCGTAGGGGTGTCCAGTTCTTCCTTTGGGATAGGGTGTGTGCAGATGGGAAAGGCAGAAAGGCAGAGGGACATTCCAACCAGAAGGAGCAGACCAAACAGAGGACAGGAATTAGGGGGCAGGCTGGTGTGCTGGGGAACTCCAAGTAGTTCATCTGACCGCTGCAAAGGGTTCAAGGTGGGGCATGGGGAGACCTCAGGTTGGAGAAGTAGGATAGTGGAGAACCTGTGTATCCCACTTTTGACTTTGAACTTTATCCTGTAGACAGTGGGGAGCCACCAAAGTGTTTTAATGAAAGGAACAATATGATCAGGATTGTTTCATGAAGATTATTGTGGCAGAATTCAGAAGGATAGATTGGAGGGGGCAGAACTGTATACGTGTAGGGAGTTAGGAGGCCATTGGAAGAATCTGGTGGAGAAATGAAGAAGCAACAGATTAAATCAGGAGCCATGGAGCTGGGATGGAAGATACAGATACGAGGGTGTGAACATGGTGGGATCTCTCAGACTCAGGGATTTGGAAGGAGTGGGGAGAGGGCTGAGGGAGAGATGGGATTCTAGGATAACTACTAGGTTTCTGATGTGGATGGCTGGGTGGATAAAGACCTCACTAACTGAGAGCAGAAATGCAAGAGCAGGAGGGTAGGTGATGAGTTCTGATGTGGACATGCTGAATGTGGGGGTCTTGGGGACATCCAGGTGCAGATGACCAGTTGACCATCCAGGTCTGGAACTCAGCTGTGATCTGGGCTTACTGGGTGGTAAAGTTTTCTGAAACAGCAAATTAAACAACACCACCAACAACAAAAACAACCTTTTGGTTCTTTACATAACTAAGCCATTATAGATGTGATCCCACATGGACCTGCTCTGTTCTGAATTCTGCCACATATCCTGATCATTTGTATATTTCCCCACTTTTTCATCCAAGTAGGCCCATTTAAGAGACTGCTTGCCCTCCTCCTATGTGCTGAGTTTATTGTAGGGTGAGAGATTTATTTATTTCTTTGGATTAAAGTCATGCAGCTAATATATCCTTAAGGATGTCTTTGTACTTGCTCTGAAAATAGTTCCAAAATGAATTTTCTACTTGATAAGTAGATATTAAATCATGCTACGAGGGGGAAAAAAACCCTGATAAGCGTCGTGGTAGGCTGTTGCTATGCGGCAGAGAGAGCTGCTGGCCTGACTCTGGCAAATCTATATGATTCAGCACGAGCTTTTCCAGGAATGGTTAGCTGCAGTCCCACCAATGAGCATTTTCTGCATTATGCATATAACATCATCAGCGTTATCCACCTCGGGTTAGATCATAGTTTATGGTTTCTGTGGTATTATTTATTTAGAGGACAGGCACTGCCCAAATCTAATTTCAAGGCAACACATAAAGCACTTTTGCAGGAGTAGAAAGGCAAACGCATAAACAGCCTGCATTTAAATGGGAGAGGGAGGGAGAGGAGATGCATAAAGCTGAAAAGTGGGTGGAGCAGCAAAGTAGATCCAGAGCAACTCTTTTGCTCAGTCGGGGAGACTGAGGCTCAGACTGATGAAAGAGGTAGTGTCATAGCGAAATATGGCTCCAGAACTCAACATGCTGTTCTGGTGGTTACTTTTGTAGGCTGCAGAGATTGCCTTGCGGAAGAGGCCTGGGCAGGAACTGTTTGGAAATTGCATGTTCTCATCTATCTAGGTACACTGGAGTCTCAGCTGATGGTCTCTGCCTCTTTCTCTAAAGCACTGGTTCTCAGCCCTGGCTGCACATTGAAATCACCTGCAATGCTTTTTAAGCTCCTATGCCCAGACTTCATCCTAGACCAATTGGGTTAGAATTAGAGGTTATGGCATTGGAAAATTGAAAAAGCCTCTCTCCTGCCCCCACCCAGTGATTCTAACACAGAACCTATTCAGTGTGGAGAACAGCCGCTCTCAGGCCTTCTCCTCCTGGTCTTACCTTCCAGGGGGTGAAACTGCTCTTTATCCATCCAGGTGTATGGTAGATGCTTACAGATGCATGCACATGCCAGCCGGCTTCCTTTAGGTGAGAAATTTCCTTGAGAGGAGCGAACTCAAGTGTGGTCCCTTTGGAAGAGCTGGATTTCATCATGAGAAGGTGAACTGACTTGAGTCCCTCATGCCATCAGTGGGGAGCAGGCACCGGCCTTGCTTGTGGAGAGTGGCTGGAGAGATAGGGGCAGTGGTGGTGGTACCTGGCCTGGAGAGGCTGGCGTGGGTGTTGTCAAGTCAGCACGGGGTGGAACTGGGCACAGTGTCGGGGTCATGGCTGCTGAAGACAGCAGATGCCAAAGCCCAGCCTAGGTTGCTGGGCTGGAGCCCCCAAAGGCCCTCAAGGTCAGAGTTGATGAGGGAAAGCATGGTGGGAGTGGGCCTTCTGGATGGAGTGTGAGTTGGCCCCTCAGCCCCGGGAGGGCAGGACTTCAGAGGCCAGGGCAGTAGCTTAATTCTTTGGCCACTTTAGCCCAGACATCCTCCCCTTAGTGCAGACTTACTAGAGGGAAGGCAGATTCTGTGCCCAGACGGGAAGACAGCTGCTTTGGGATTAAGTCGTAGCCTCCAGTGAAAGGCTTAGATGTCCATGAACTGGTGGAAATCTGGCGTGCTCCTGATCCTGCAGCAATGTTCTAATGGGAGGCTGGCCCCATGCACTTGTTTAAATCACTGCC